AGAGAAGAGGTCTTCTGTCTGCTGGTTCACTCCCCAGTTGGGCGCAGCAGCTAGAGCTGCGCTGATCTGAAGCCAGGGGCCAGGAGCTTCTTCCGGGTCTCCTACTTGGATGCAGGGGCCCAAGGACTTGGGTCACCTTCCACTGCTTTCCTAGGCCATAGTAGAGAGCTGGATTGGAAGTAGAGCAGCTGGGACCCAAACCAGCAACCATATGGGATGCTGGCACTGCAGGAGGCGGCTTTACCTGCTATGCCACAGAGCTAGCCACACTCTTCAGATGATTTTACTCACATAGAAATTTGAGAAGCCCTTCTATAGAAGATCAAAATCTTGACCTCTGGACAAGGAACAGATGCTTCTCTACCTGAGGTTCCAACAACACAAAGAATTAGAAGTTGTTTATTGGCATAGTAAAATGAATGTCGACCTTTAAAGTAATTACTGTTATGATTATTTATCTTTTCTGGAATTAAGATTTTTCCTTTCTCACTTGAATGGGCAAACTTGGCTATTGTTACATCTTCCTTAATATAGTGGCAGTTTTTGTATTTGCAGATTTTCAGATTTGGAAAACAAAGTGGAAGACTGACTTTGACACTGGAGAGGCATGATATACATAATCACATATTGAACTTATTTTCTAACAGCAGGAATGCAGCTATATTGCATATTAATTAATGAATAAATATATCCTGATTGTCTGCCATGAACAGAATTGTGGTATTCGGGGGTATGGTCATGGACCCATTGGCTAGACTTCCTATTGCTTTGGTTAAAGCAGAACTTAAGGGGCACTTATTGCAGCATGGTGGTTAAGCTTCCCCAAATTTGCCTGCATCCTGTGTTGGTGTGCCTGGTTTGAGTCCTGGCTGGGCTTTCCAGCTAATGAATCTGAGAGGCAGCAGATAATGGCCCAAAAACTTGGGTTCCTGCCATCCACACCTTTCTTTCTCTGTTTCTCTGTGTCACTCTGTCTTTCAAATAAATAATAAGTGAATCTTTCAAAGAGATAGACAGTTTATGGCCGGCGCCGCGGCTCACTAGGCTAATCCTCCACCTTGCGGTGCCGGCACACCGGGTTCTAGTCCCGGTCGGGGCGCCGGATTCTGTCCGGGTTGCCCCTCTTCCAGGCCAGCTCTCTGCTGTGGCCAGGGAGTGCAGTGGAGGATGGCCCAAGTGCTTGGGCCCTTCACCCCATGGGAGACCAGGATAAGTACCTGGCTCCTGCCATCGGATCATTGTGGTGCGCCGGCCGCAGCGCGCCGGCCATTGGAGGGTGAACCAACGGCAAAAAGGACGAGCTTTCTCTCTGTCTGTCTCTCTCTCCCTGTCCACTCTGCCTGTCAAAAAAAAAAAAAAAAAAAAAGAGAGAGATAGATAGTTTATGATTAAAAATACCTGAGGCAGCCTAACTTGGTAAGGAAAGGAGGTTTATTTTGGCTCCTGGTTCTGGAAATGCAAAATCTAGGGGCCTCATTTGATGGTGTCCTTGCTGGCAGTTTCCCTAGGTGGCACAGAATATCACATGGCAAGAGACAAGGTATGTGTGCATTTATGTATTTTGGCTTCTTATAAAGCCATCAGGATCGAATCATGCCCCAACAACCTAATTCAATCTAATCCCTTCTCCAAGGCCAAACACAATTGCTTTAACTTTTCTAGCTCTTTGTTTAGAAAGCTAGATTTATTTGAAAGGCAGAGGGAGAGAGATCTTCTATTTGCTGGTTCACTCCTCAAATGGCTACAACATCTGGCCCTGGGCTAGGTTGAAGCTAGGAGCCAGGTTACTCCATCTGGGTCTTCCACATGGGTGGTAGGAACTCAAGTACTTGAGCCATCATCCGATGTTTCTCAGGCACATTAGCAGGGAACTTGATTGGAAGCAGAATGACTAGGATTCAAACCAGTAGGAGATATGGCATGTCGGTGTCCTCTAAGTGGTGGCTTAGCCCGTTGCACTGCCCAGTTAACACTCTTTTAGTAAGATTTTGGGGATTAAACTTTTGAGTTTGGAGTGTCAAATATTCAAACTATGGCAGAAATATAGTAGTTAATTCAACAAATTAAGCTTTCTCTGTCAAAGTCAGCCCTGTATGAGGAATAAACTATATACGAGGGGAAATGGCTCTTGTTAAACTTGGGGTTGTGCCTGGCTATTGTGTACTGGGGTTAAGGGTGTGGTCCGAGACACTGGGCCATGGTTTGAAACCCATTGCTTTAGTTTAATAACATTACCAACTAACATGGCTGCTGATTAATCCTAAGACTTATACTACCTCCCTGTTTTAATTATGCAACAAAAATTTTTTTTTCATGAATCCCCCCCATTGCCCCTTAATTTGTCATTTTTGTCCAGTTTCTTTCTTGCATAGCTGAACCTTGTGGGTAGCACACGGCTGCTTGTAGTTACTAAGTGTAATATAAGTTAAGTGTGGGTCCTGTGATGAACATGGACATAAAGATGCCTCCTAGGAACATACGGCTTTCTGCCATAAAGTTCACAGACATATTATTGAAACAGCAGAGATGAGAGCTTACTGTAAAGTTTCTTACAAGCAGAAAATTATAAGAGAAAATGATATAGCATAGCCATTTTTTTCCAATTTAATTGGCTAAATGCATTGCTTTTTGAAGTTTTTATTAATTTTTTAAAGATTTATTTATTTGAAAGAGTTACACAGAAGACAACACACACACACATACACACACACACAGAGGTGGGGGGATTGGGAGGAGATTTCTTCCATCCAGTGGTTCACTTCCCCAAATGGCTGCAACGGCTTGGGCCTGGGTCAGGCTGAAGCCAGGAATCAGGAGCTGCTTCCAGATCTTCCATGTGGGTGCAGGGGCTCAAGCACTTGGGCTGTCTGCTGCTTTGCCAGGTGCATTAACAGGGAGCTGGATTTGAAGTGGAGTAGTCAGATCTCAAACTGGTGTCCATATGGGATGGCAGTGTCACAGGTGATGGCCTTACTCACTATGCCACAGTGCTTTATTAATAGTTTAAAAAGCTCGGTGAGAAGCGGAGGAGCGGCGACTGCCCTAGCTGCGCACAGTACGCGCTCCTTCCCGCTCCCCCACGCCGGCCTCAGCCCGTTCACCGGCTGTAGTAGAAAATGGTGAAAGAAACCACTTACTATGATGTTTTGGGGGTCAAACCCAATGCCACCCAGGAAGAACTGAAAAAGGCTTACAGGAAATTGCCCTTAAAGTACCACCCTGAGAAGAATCCAAATGAAGGAGAGAAGTTCAAACAGATTTCTCTCAAGCTTATAAAGTTCTTTCTGATGCAAAGAAAAGGGAATTATAGGACAAAGGAGGAGAACAAGCAATTAAGGAGGGCGGAGCAGGCGGTGGTTTTGGCTCCCCCATGGACATCTTTGATATGTTTTTTGGAGGAGGAGGAAGGATACAGAGAGAACAGAGAGGTAAAAATGTGGTTCATCAACTCTCGGTAACCTTAGAAGACTTATATAATGGTGCAACAAGGAAACTAGCTCTACAGAAGAATGTGATTTGTGACAAATGTGAAGGCCGAGGTGGTAAGAAAGGAGCAGTAGAGTGCTGTCCCAATTGTCGAGGTACTGGAATGCAAATAAGGATTCATCAGATAGGACCTGGAATGGTGCAGCAGATTCAGTCTGTATGCATGGAGTGCCAGGGCCATGGGGAACACATCAGTCCTAAAGATAGATGTAAAAGCTGCAATGGAAGGAAAATAGTTCGAGAGAAGAAAATTCTTGAAGTTCATATTGACAAAAGCATGAAAGATGGCCAGAAGATAACATTCCATGGTGAAGGAGACCAAGAACCAGGACTGGAGCCAGGAGATATTATCATTGTGTTAGATCAGAAGGACCATGCTGTTTTTACCCGACGAGGAGAAGACCTTTTTATGTGTATGGACATACAATTGGTCGAAGCATTATGTGGTTTCCAAAAGCCAATATCAACTCTTGACAACCGAACCATAGTCATTACCTCTCATCCAGGTCAGATTGTCAAGCATGGAGATATCAAGTGTGTGCTAAATGAAGGCATGCCAATTTATCGTAGACCTTATGAAAAGGGTCGCCTAATCATTGAATTCAAGGTAAACTTCCCTGAAAATGGCTTTCTCTCTCCTGATAAACTCTCTTTGCTGGAAAAACTTCTCCCTGAGAGGAAGGAAGTAGAAGAGACTGATGAAATGGATCAGGTAGAACTCGTGGACTTTGATCCAAATCAGGAAAGACGGCGCCATTATAATGGAGAAGCATACGAGGATGATGAACATCATCCCAGAGGGGGTGTTCAGTGTCAGACCTCCTAATGGGGCCAGTGAAGAAGGCACTGCTGGCATTTTGTATGCAGCAGTGGATGGATGAGTGAAGGACTATAACCGTAATATGCTCACTACTTGCTATTGTTTTTGTTTTAATATTCAACTATAGTAGTGTTTTAAAAGTTAAATGAAGAATAAACGCAAATATAAAAGCTCTGACTTTGCCCTGTATGTATGACGACTTCAGTGTGCAAGATGAAATACCTGTAAAAACTTAATTTAAAAAAAGTTCCCCTAGCATTTGTTAGCCATACATTGTAATTGATTTCAGCTGTCTACATGGACAAGCTTAGACTGAAATGCTAGGTGTATGTGTTGGCTTCAGTGTCTGACCATTCATTGTTAAGCTTATGGAATTAAAACTATTTAACTGGCAATCAGAAAAAAAAAAAACTCATTTTCTTTTTCCTCTAGTATAAACACACATTAATCTTAAGGAGAAAAACAAAGTGTTATAGAAAAGCAAGGAGACATATTTTGTTCAGTGGAAAATATATTTTTACTTAAATAGGGTATAAATGGTGACTTAGCAATGGATAATTCGAGATTATTCAATGTTTCACTTCAGGAGTAGTTCAGATTCTGTTGTGTCATGATTATGCGGAAAAGTGCCATGCAGTTGTATCAGAGTATCCCACACTAGGCCTCGTGAATACCTGCCTTTTGTGCCTTCCAGGAAAATGACTCAGGCACTTTGGACACGGTGGGCGCTGTGGTTGTGGACCATGAAGGGAACGTTGCTGCTGCTGTCTCCAGTGGAGGTTTGGCCCTGAAACATCCAGGGAGAGTTGGGCAGGTAAGTAATCAATGTGTGTTTTTTTTTTTTTTTAAATTAATTTATTTTTTTGACAGGCAGAGTGGACAGTGAGAGAGAAAGAGAGACAGAGAGAAAGGTCTTCCTTTGCCGTTGGTTCACCCTCCAATGGCCGCCGCTGCAGCCGGCGCACCGCGCTGATCCGATGGCAGGAGGCAGGATCCAGGTGCTTTTCCTGGTCTCCCATGGGGTGCAGGGCCCAAGCACCTGGGCCATCCTCCACTGCACTCCCTGGCCACAGCAGAGAGCTGGCCTGGAAGAGGGGCAACTGGGACAGAATCTGGCGCCCCGACCGGGACTAGAACCCGGTGTGTCGGCGCCGCTAGGCAGAGGATTAGCCTAGTGAGCCGCGGCGCCGGCCAATCAATGGGTTTTAAAAGTAAAACATGGAATTTCCTAGCCCACAGTGTTTAAATAAGTAGAAACTCTTTTTTTCTTTAGAAAAAAAAATTAGTATCATTATTGCTTAATGTTTATCTGGTATAAATCATCAGCCATATCACTTTTATAGCTTCTTTCTTAAAAAACAAAAAAACAAACAAACAAAAAAACACCAAAAACCTATCTTTTATAGTAGTGTGGTTCTTCCCGAGCTTCACAGTCAGTAATTCTAGCTTCACTGCCTTTAACCGGGCACTGGCCTGGCTTTAGTAGACATTTAATAAATGTATTTATTTCCATTTTTTCCCTGTGTAAATGTCATTCTCTTTAGGAGTGAGCTCCACCTGATTGTTTTTGAGGTGGAAAAATGATTTCAGAGTTACATTTTTTTCCATTGAAGGATCAACAACATTTTGACCCTGTACATCTTTCTCTGCTGAAGCATTTCAGCCATTTTTGTAGAATAATCAATATTTGAGGTTGCTACCACATGATACCACTTAAGACATCAGAAATGAGAATTTAATTTATGTGAAATTTGTTCACTTCTTTACTTAATATCCTCTTTGCACCATCTCCAATCTTTAGTTTTATACTGAGAATGAAATTTGACAGTCCATTTGATCAGCTTTCTGAATATAAACCAATTTGGTACATAATGGGCATAATAAATAATCTTTGAGTAAACAATGAATCAGACTCTCTACTAGTTGCAAGGCATGTGTTTAAAGTCAGTTATTGGATCTTGGGTCTTACATGTGGAGGTATGGCTTGGTATGCTTTGTGTCTCTCATATTTGAAGAAAAGTCAGTTTCACAGTTGATTTGAATATGGTGGTTATCAAATAGTTGAAGTACATTGATTCAGGTCATAGAGGATATATTTGCAAAACCCCAAGTGATGGTTCTTGATCAGCTATTTGTGTGGACAAGCCACTTACACTCCTAGGGAATAGGGGAAGAGATGAATAATTAATTTTGTGCTGTTCTTTCTCTACTGTACAAGGGAATTTATGGGCAAAGGTTGCTGAACATGTATATAATTTTTTTAAAGATTTATTTATTTATTTGAAAGGCAGAGTTTCAGAGAGGCAGAGACAAAGAGATTTTCGATCCACTGGTTCATTCCCCAAGTGGCTACAATGGCTTCCGAAGCCAGGAGCCAGGAGCTTCCTCCAGATCTCCCACGCGGGTGCAGGGGCCCAAGCACTCGGGCCATCTACTGCTGCTTTCCCAGGCCATAGCAGAGAGCTGGATGGGAAGTGGAGCAGCCAGGAGTCGAACTGGTACCTATATGGGATGCTGGCACTACAGGCGGTGGCTTTATCCGCTATGCCACAGCACCAGCCCATATATAACGTTTTGAGTTCACGATAAAAGCCTTTGGTCATGGTGTTATTCAAATTTTAAGATCCTATGTGTTTTTTAAGTTTGAAATAAAAAAATAATGCTTGCTATATTAGCTTTGGATGGTCTAGTAGAGAAGGAGAGAGAAAAGCTAACAGAGCAGCCTTCATTGCATTGTAATTCCCATAACTTTCTCACTGTTTTCTGTTTGTTTTGGTTAGCAAAATAACAATATAGCCAAGGATAGTTCTGGTCTATATTAGGGTATTACATCTAATGATCTTGAAACGATTCTGTCACTGCCTGTGGGAAAATCCTGGAAAAAGAAAAACTTCCGTAACATGTAAATGCTGTTTTGCCCCACCTGACTACTCTATGAATGCATAGCTTGTGAGAGCGGGAACATAAGGGAAGGGTGTGGAGAAAAGAAATAAAAATGCTTACAGGAAAATACAGTTGTTTATTTGGATTAGATTGCTTGGATAGAGCAGATGTAATAGGCCTGGAAAAATAGATGTATCAGATGGGAGGCAAAGAACAATTCTTTTTGGCAATCAGAATAGAATGAACCCCATACAAAAGCAAGTTATATCAAAGGCTAATTATTATTTTATTAATGTGGTGAAACAAGACACTTTTAAATACACAAATGAACTATTTAAAAATTTTAGTATTTTATGCTGCTCTCAACGTGTAATAGCACTGAAGATGGAGAAGTGACAATTTAAAATAGGACTTCTTTAACTTTAATTAGAATTTACAACTTGAGGGGGGTCTGTGCTCTGGTGTAGCAGGTGAAGCCGCTACAAATCCAGGCTGCCCCACTTCCCATCCAGCATCTCATATGAGCAGTGCCAGCATCCCATATGAGCACTGGTTCAAGTCCTGGCTGCCTCACTTTCCATCCAGCTCTCTGCTCTGGCCTGGGAAAGCAGTAGAAGATGGCCCAAGTCTTTGGGGCCCCTGCACCCACTTGGGAGACCCGGAAGAAGCTCCTGGCTTCAGATCGGCCCAGGTCGGGCCGTTGCGGCCACTTGGGGGAGTGAATCATCAGATGGAAGACCGCCCCCTCTCTGCTTCTGACTTTCTGTAACTTTGCCTTTCAAAGAAATATGTCTTTTTTTAAAAAAAGAATTTCTAAGTTGAACATGAGAAAAGAATTACTGCATTTCACTGTCACACACAAATAGGTAGGTGAGTTTGATGGTGAAAGGTGTAGACTTTGGCTTCAGATAAAATTTTATTCTAATCCCACCTTCTCAATTACTATTCCTCTTTCTTTGAATAAGTTACTCATTTGAGCTCCACTTTCCACAATTGTAAAATGGGGATAACTAGCTATCTTGCAAAAGTTCTAAAAGATTAAAGTGACATAATGCATTAGATTATGTATCATAGTCTCTAATAATAAATATAACTACTATTTATTAAGTACCTTCTATGTACAACAGATTTCTTATTTTACATAATCCCATGTCAACACCATGAGTTGGGTATTTAAACTGTGACCCAGAGAACATAATAATAACATTATTTATATTTTCTCCTTTTTACTACATGATAATACTTTTACTACAATTTTACTACCAAAAAGAAGGTTGCTTTTTTAAATTTGTTTTTGTAGGCTTTCTTTATTTTTTTTAAGAACTTTTTTGGATAAATCAGAGGCATTTGTCTTTTTTTTTTTTTTTAAGATTTATTTCTTTATTTGAGAGGCATAGTTACAGAGAAAGAGAGAGGGAGAGACAGAGAGGTCTTTCATCTGTTGGTTCACTCCCTAAGTGGCTGCAATGGCCAGAGCTGGGCCACCCCGAAGCCAGGAGCCAGGAGCTTCTTCCTGGTGCATCTTCTGCTTTCCCAGGCCATCAGCTGGAGCTGGATCAGAAATGAAGCAGCGGTAACTCAAACCAGTGCCCATGTGGGATGCCAGCGCCCCAGGCAGATGCTTAACCTACCACACCACAGTGCTGGCCCCTGTAGACTTTCTTAAGAAAAGAACTGCATAAGAAAAGAACAACCTTTGATTTTTTTTATCCTATCTATTACTATCTCAGGCTAACCAATTTCAGATAGTTAAGAAAGAAGTGATCTTTAGGTTATGAAATTAAGAAGGGAATTTTCTTGAATGGAAAACATAAATATTGTTTTCTAGAAGAGCAGCCTCCACGGACTTGAAGAAAATTATTTTTTAAAGATTTTTTTTATTTGAAAGAGTTACAGAGAGGGAAGGAGGGAGGAAGAGGTAGAGAGAGAGAGAGAGAGAGAGAAAGAGAAAGACAGAGAATGTCTTCTATCTGCTGATTCACTCCCTAGATGGCTGCAATGGCTGGGGCTGGGCTGAGCCAAAGTCAGGAGTCAGGAGCTTCATCTGGGCTCCCATGTGGATGCAAGGGCCCAAGCACATAGGCCATGTTCTGCTTCTTTTCCCAGGCTGTAGGCAGGGAGCTGGATCAGAAGTGGAGCAATGGGGACATGAACTGACTCCCACATGGGATGTCAGCATCATTGTCTGCAGCTTTACTCCCTATGGCACAGTGCCAACCTTCCACTTTCTTTTTAAGAGGCGTCCTAATGGCCTTATTTACTAGTTTTTGAATGCAGGCTCCTGATCAAGATAACTTTGGGGGGAAAAGTGTGAAGGGCGAATGTTTAGCATTTTCAGTGAACGAAGAGTGGGTCCTTCTGCTGAGGTCTTGTGTTCTTGTAAGATTTTGGCTAACCCAGCACATACCCTGGGGAGTATCAATTGAATGGCTTGTGCTATAGGTCTGCTAGTTTTCTTTTGAAATCCATACGCTAAATTACTTCTGAAGGGCATACAATTGTTATACCGAGTAGCATTAGAAAACTAAGGCATATATTTTTAGAAAACTGGTGTTTTCAAAGTCAGTAACAGTTTTTTACTGTCTACCATAATGGGAATGCCCTGTTCACTTTGGCTGTACTTTTCAGAATGCTGTTGTCAGTGACAACTGGACATGGCCACTGAGGGTCACATGAATATGGTAGACTTTATTCCAGACTCTGAACTAATTCTCAAGAAAGTTGATATTTCCACATGAGGTAGTGAGATTGTCAGTAGCAGGAGTGTGTGGGATGTTTCATAGAGACTATTGGAATAAATGAATTCTAAGGTTCTTGTAAAATAATAATAAAAATAGAAGTATATCATAGCATGATAAACCTCTGGTCATCATTCTCATTATTAGCCAATTTGCTTTTCTTCAGAAATGAGCATTCAGAAAATAATAGGACTTTTAATGGAAGTATCTTTTTCTGCATTCGTCATTGTAAATACTGTATGTGTTGTTGTAACTTTTTTTTTAAAGATTCCTATAGAACTTCCTGTATTTGTTCCTAAATATTTTATTCAACGTGTTTCTTTTATTTTTAACCTTTGTAATGAATCCCACACATTGTTATTTAATCAGCCATTTATTTACTCATTGATACAGGTCATTTTCAGTTTCTCATTCTTTTTTTTTTTTTTTAAAGATTTATTTATTTATTTGAAAGTCAGAGTTACACAGAGAAGGAGAGGCAGAGAGAGAGAGGTCTTCCATCCTATGGTTTCACTCCCCAGTCGGCCGCAATGGCCGGAGCTGCGCTGATGCGAAGCCAGGAGCTAGGAGCTTCCTCCAGGTCTCCCACAAGGACTTGGACCATCTTCCACTGCCCTCCCAGGCCACAGCAGAAAGCTGGATAGGAAGAGGAGCAGCCGGGACTAGAACTGGCGCCCATATGGGACGCCGGCACTTCAGGCCAGGGTGTTAACTCACTGCACCACAGCACCGGCCCCCAGTTTCTCATTCTCACCAAACATGTAGAAAGGAACTCTTGAGCACGCTTCCTTGTATTTTCTCTATGATTGCTAGCTAGAGTTTTTCTAACTCAGCTTCTCACTAAGGAGTGGAAAAGTTATTGGTTGTGATTTCCCTCCCAAAGAGAAGTCATTGTGGGTACTGAGGAGATGAATACAGACATATTGTAAACAAAATAGGAGTGATTGCCATAATCTTTTATAAAACTATACTAGCTTATTGTGTTCCTCGTGGTTTCAGGAGTATAAATCTGTTCCATCACTAACAAAGTGATTAGCTTGAACTGGCCTTTTTGCCTTCTTTCTTTTCATCTGGCAGAATCTAGCATATACTGGGTTCTTTGATATCAAGCTATTTGCAGTTCCTGTTAGGTTTACTCCAAGGGAGTCATGGAAAAGGTCCTCTATGCTAAGCCTCTGCAGCACCAGCATCCCATATGGGCAGTGGTTCGTGTCCTGGCTGCTCCACTTCCCATCTAGCTTCCTGCTGCTGGACTGGGAAAGCAGTGGAAGATGGCACTTGGGCCCCTGCACCCACATGAGAGACTGAAAGAAGCTCCTGGCTTCAGATTGGCCCAGCTCCAGCCGTTGGAGTCATCTGGGGAATGTACCAGCAGGTTGAAGACCCCTCTGTCTTTCTCTCCCTTTGTTAACTCTGTCCCTCAAATAAATAAATAAATCTTTTAAAAAGAAAGGAAGGAAGGGAGGGAGGGAGAAGGGAGGAAAGGAAGGAAAGGAAGGAAGGAGGGTTGGTTCTCCTGAATTGGGTTTCTCAGAGCATGACAGGAAAACCACCTGCATCCCAGTATCCCAAGACCCTGGTTAGTACTTATTCCCAGACTTCCTCCAGACACTTAATCGGAATCTCTGGGATTCTTTTTGGGCAACTCCCCAAGTAATTCAATATACTAAGTTTGAGAACTGTTATTGTAGGACAAACACATTGATTTCAAGGGGTCAGAAGTTTTAATAGTTAAACCCGTTTTTGGGGGTAGTTCTTGTTCAACATCTGGCATTATAACCTACACGTTACTCATTCTTATTAAACCAGGTTTTGTTGGATGGGCATAATTTTTGTCTTTTGTTGAAAACTTAAACTTGCATATGATATTTCTGAAATATTCTGTTTTTGTTCTTTTCCAGGCTGCTCTTTATGGATGTGGCTGCTGGGCTGAAAATACTGGAGCTCATAATCCCTACTCCACAGCTGTGAGTACCTCAGGTATTTGCTGCTTTCATGACCATTTTTCACAACTTCAGCTTTACCAGTCATTTAATGATTAAAAGCCATATTTTTGATAAATCTTAAGCATGTGCTAAGAGACTGTATAGACAAGAGAATTGAACCCATGAAAGATCTTTAGTGTTTGGGAGGTTGTAAGGATTGTTCAGCATCATCTTGCATATTCTTTGCTAGCAAATGTGTAAACCTGTATCCCCTGCCTGCTTATTGCAGCAGCCTCCCGACCTAGGTCCATTCCTTCCATCAGAGGAAAAATAGGATTATAAGATACTGGCCTATCAGGTGAAATCTAAACATGAATTAATGTTGAATCTAAGCCATACTTATATAATTGGTGAAAATTGTTTTGTAATATTTCATTTTTGAAGAGATGAGCATAATGTAACAATTTTAAGGTTAATTAATTTCTTATTCACAGGCCATGGAAATCTTGACACATATAAAGTTCACAAATTGGTCATTGAATGAAACTGTGGCCCTGTGTCTGTGGAAAAATTATGTTTATGAACAGACAAGTCTAAAATAGATAAATTCATTATTTCATTTTTATTTTCTCAAAGCAGCCTCAGTTGATGTTAAGTGTTGTATTGATTTTAATTTTATTCAATATTTTGCTCAGTTGTTTAGATATCAAGAAATAACTCTCAAATCTACATGTTAGGTGAACTGGAGTCTGTTTAAAAACAAAATCCCGAGAGCTTGCCTGACGAACACATTTAGGAAGAGAGATTCAGTCGCCTTGGGAGTTGTCCACCCATGTTTTCCCCTTTTAAGTTGGTGATGTAGAAGTTGGAATAAGAACATATGTTATGGGTTCGAATCTATTAAGTAGAATGCAATGGATGAGTAAAGCTAAAATTTAGATGGAAGTCTTTCCTCCTTCCCCATTCTGTATTAGTTGAAGGTAGTTTCATTCAGTTCATGACATCCAGTATAACCTTTTACCTTGGATACCCAGCTTGTCAGGTTACATTTTCTCCCCTGAGTTTAATGCTACCCACTGTCCAGAGAACCTGAGGATGATAGAAAGTCAGCTTTGCACTGCTGTGAGAAATACTTGAGAGAAGCTACCCATGTAGGAAGGTTTATTTTGGCTTATAGTTTTAGAGATGTGCAGTCCAAGATCAGGCAGTTTCATCAATTGGACATCTGGTGAGGGTGGTGGATGAGAAAGGCAGAACATGGACAGAGAAAGGTGAGCCAGAAGCAGTGGGGGAGGGAGGAAGAGAGAAGGGAAGAAGGGAAGGAGGGAGGGAGGGTGAAACAGTTATGCCAACTCAGGCTCTATAATGATACTATTGTGGGAACTACCTTCTGGGGTCACCCCTCAAATGACCTGAGAAACTCTCATTAAGTGTTTACCACTCCCAGTACCACCAGCTTATCACTTTGGGGTTCAAACTGCTCTATGAGATTGGGAGCCATATTCTATTTATACCGTATCAATATACTTGATCTCTGGTTTGTCATTTCTGTGGTACTTTGTGTGATTGCATCACTCTTGTTTCTCCTGGGGCTGTTATGAGATTGACAATGGGAACATATGGCAGAGTTGGGTGACCAAGTCGTAAGGAAAGTAGAGCACACAGTTTTGTAATTTTTTGGCCAAAATAAAGAAGACTTGTGCCTTAGGCTATTGCAGAAAATCCAGAGAGCTGGCCTTCATTTTAGGTTTATATATCTTGGAAGGTGATAATTGAAAGGCGGAGAGAAGATGGTTAGTTATGGTCAGGACAGTGCTCTCTCAAGGCTAGACAGGCGATTTGGTCATTAGCCTGAGGGATAAACTCCAGCATCTTGTTCTCATCACTGGGTGGGGAAGAATGATTGGGGGGTTTGGTGGCAGGAGCTGATCTTGCAAACTCTGACTAATGTCTGGCATCGTGGGAATTTTCCTTGCTAGCAAGGGAGCAGAGCAGATTCTTCCAGACTGACTAGTTGGGGAACCTGTGTAAGGGGGTGTGTATATAACAGGAATAAGATCTATCATTGCTGTGAGGGTTGAATGAATTGACGTATGGAAAGCACTTAGTGCATTTCTTGGCCCAGAGTAGGGGCTCAATGCTTACTGTATTCCACTGAATCTTAAATTGCTATCTTTTGTAAGATATAATATTGTTTTTATACCACCAGAGAGTGAAAAAGACTGCCAATCAAAGTATGACACACTACTTTCTCAGCACTGAACCATTGTTGTTGTTTTATAGGAAAACAAACAGGGATGTTGCCCCAATGAGAAGTATTTGCTTCACTGATACCAAAGTCATGCCTCATTGCTGTTTGCATGCCTTCTTATGTGTACAGTCATTTTACATTTCAAGTCTGTATCATATAGTAATCCTTCAAAACATGTTGTTAAAATGACACTTGAGCGGCTTGCGCTGTGGCTCAATAGGCTAATCCTCTGTCTGCGGCACCAGCACCCCAGGGTTCTAGTCCTGGTCGGGGTGCCGGATTCTGTCCCAGTTGCCCCTCTTCCAGTCCAGCTCTCTGCTGTGGCCCGGGAGTGCAGTGGAGGATGGCCCAAGTGCTTGGGCCCTGCACCTGCATGGGAGACCAGGAGAAGCGCCTGGCTCCAGGCTTCGGATCGGCGCGCCGGCCGCAGAGGCCATTTTGGGGTGAACCAACGGAAAAGGAAGACCTTTCTCTCTGTCTCTCTCTCAGAGGCAGCTTGGAAGAAGCCATCAGTTTTAATGTACCTCCTGATTCCAGACATTTTAAAATATAAAATAAGTATATTTTAGAACTCTGAACTATAGTAAAAGATTTTCTCATTCTCAGCATTTTTTTTTTTTTTGGTGAAAATAACTTGTTTCATGTTCTCTTGAAGTGGTAAGATAAACTCTTGAGGAAAGGAAGGTTGTAGGTATATCTGTGTCTCCTGAGTGCCTGGCATAGAGCCTTGTACATGTTAAGTGCCTAATAAACAAATAAAAAGGAAGAAATGCATGTGTGCTTCCAGCCTGTATAAATGATGCTTACTGTTTCAAAAAGATTATTCACCATGGAATTTCTCTAAATAGCGTTTAAAAATATGATTCAATTTGCCAAATTTGGACTCACACTTCATTTTTCAGTAACACATCAGATGTATAATGTAAGATACATCTGTAGCTTGTCTCTGGCAATGGAAAGGAAGAGCAGATCAAGGATTAGAAGATCAGAAGGAGGAAAAAAAGCAGGAGATTAAGTTTATGCTCTGGTTGACCTTAACGTTGGTCTTCTGTTACTTGTCTGTACAGTTCTGTTTTTTTCTTAAAGAGAACAGTGAATCCAGGGGTACTGTTGGCAACTGACTGGAGATAGAAGGTAGAGGCTCAATCTCCCTTTCTTAACATGTTCTGGCATGAAGAAAGATTTTCTATGTTGTTTCTTGTATGAAATCCAGTGATTCATGATTTTCCAGGTTTCTTTCTTTATTTCTTTTCTTTTTCTTTTTTTTCTTTTCTTAAACTTTCCTAGGTCTTGACTTTGAGTAGTCCTAGAAACCTGAGAGCTGTGAAAGTTATGACTCTGAGTTTCTAGGAGGAGCTTCAAGGTGGATGGGATTTAAAGAAAAATGCAAAAATGGACACTAGTTTTATTCCTTAATCTTTCTGAGCTAGCAATTGGAGTCTCTTCCGCAAGAGCAGAGGAATTGTGCCAATCCTTCTTTGTTTCTCAACCAAATTAGCAGCCGTGGTTCTTTCTCTACCTCTCTGGGAGATTGCCTCATGGGACTGTGGCAGAAAACTCCGGTTTGAGAGAATCTTGTTTTTGAGAGGGCTGTTGTATGATGGCAAGAGCCAATACAAGACCATTGCTGAACTATATGAAAATAGTACGTGGTCATTACTGTTAAGGAGTTGGGCAAAAGGAGCAAAAATCCCTGCTTCACTTTCTTCCTAAGCAGCAATCATTGTTTCTCTTCTGCAATTTGAGTGTCATAAGCCCTCTTGGTGAGTTAAAGTGCTATTTTACTTAGAATTTTGCGTGCAAGTCACCTAGGAATCAACCTTCTAGCTCTCCCCTCATTTATTAGCAATTCTTCAAGGTAAAACAACAAAAAATTGTCTGTATTTGAGGTTTATTTTTTCTCTTAGTGCTGTTTTCTGATGTACTCTTTAATCTTCTTCAGTTAAGATTGTTCTTCTGCCATGCCACCGATCTACTCTTGTCAAGATTAACAGTTACCTCCAAAATCTGCTGGTCATCATTTTGTCCTAAAAATAGTATTTTGGCACAGTTGACTCAGATGACTTCCTCCTCCTGGAAACTTTTTTTTTTTTTTTTTTTTTGACAGGCAGAGTGGACAGTGAGAGAGAGAGAGACAGAGAGAAAGGTCTTCCTTTTGCCGTTGGTTCACCCTCCAATGGCCACCATGGCTGGCGCGCTGCGGCCAGCGCACTGCGCTGATCCAAAGCCAGGAGCCAGGTGCTTCTCCTGGTCTCCCATGGGGTGCAGGGCCCAAGCACTTGGGCCATCCTCCACTGCACTCCCTGGCCACAGCAGAGAGCTGGCCTGGAAGAGGGGCAACCGGGAAAGAATCCGGCGCCCCAACCGGGACTAGAACATGGTGTGCTGGCGCCGCTAGGTGGAGGATTAGCCTATTGAGCTGCGGCGCCGGCCGGACATATTGTTCTTTACTAACTTACAGAGAACTATAGTCTCCTGGTCCTCCTCAGTGTCATTTGTTAATGTTTTGAATCTTCCTGACCTTTCAGTGTTGTGTGTGCTCCAAGGCCTAGACCTTGAACCTCTTCTCTCTTTGTCTATCTACTCACTTGATGTGTCTCATCCAGTTTAATGACGACATACCACCTATATGCTGATGACTTTCAAACTTTAATCTCCAATTGGGCCTCTTCTGAGAAATCATTTGTAATTCAATTACTTGTTAAAAGTTTCCTGTCATATGTTTAATAGGCATCACAAATTTAACATTTTCAAATACAGATACATTTTCAAGTGCAAATATATTTTCAAATACAAATACATTT